GTTTTGTGTTTTCTTGTGCAACATGTTGACGTGGAACAGAAGAATCTCTTCTTCTTCTTCTTTTTCTTCTCCTCCTCCTCCTCCTCCTGTTTCTGACGGACATCGTGACTTTCTTCTGAATAACTTTTATAAAGTCTGGTTTTCTGTCTCCTCAGCAGATCCGATGACTTCAGTAATGATTAATATTCATCGTGTACCGTTTGTGAGCCGGTGTTTCTTTCATCCCGTCTGCTTTATTTAAAGCCTCCAGCTTCACCGATGTGTGTGTCGCTCCCCATTATCCAGTAATCGACCCTCCAGACGAGGCTTTCCTCCCTCTAATGAAATGGCATTTATCCCCCCCCTGACCTTTCCCCACTCTGGATGTCCAATTAAGAGGTTGATTAGGAGCCGGATTGGTCGGAGTCGTTAGGAGACGCAGTGACTCTGATTACTGTTGTGTTGCTGCTGCTTGTTTCATTTCCTTGAGAAGAAGAGGCCCGAAAAACTGAACGAAGGAAAAGTCATTTTTAAAAGTTCTCTTCATCCAAAGCTGATGGAAGCACATAGTGGTCATGTGCATTCATGCATTCATTGAAAACTACTTTAAAAGGTGAAAGTTTCCACCTTAATAAACTCCTCAGTGCTGCTGTATCCGCCCACATCATCATCATCATCACCATGAACACTGTTGGACGTTAAGATCATAGATCAGAGATGTGCTGCAGTATGTGATCACTCAGCTGTGGAGACACACAGACCAACCTTCTGTCATGAACAATGAAAGTAAACTGTTACAAAATGACTACAATGACTACACAGTTATTGGTAAGTCTCAAACCGCAGAATAAGACGACTTGGGTTTAGAACTATGTTACGTTAAAACCTGCCATAGACGATGATGTCATACTTGTTAAACTTGCGTCTTTAATTTCTCTGTCTTCACCTTCTTTCTGTCCTCTGGTTTGTTTCAGTTAGGAAATGCCTTCAGGCCGTTCGCTTCATTCTGCCAAAGGAAGCTGCCATGAAGGTTTGTGGAACTTCTGCTAGATCCTAAACACGACCACAAGACACCAGATCACATGGAGAGACAACGCTCCACGATTATGTAATCTATGATTATGTATAAACTATGAGCTGAGCATTTAACTCTTTAAATCCCCAGAACCTGCCGGTGGGATTTTAAAAAGCTTGTTTTCTTTAAACAATCGCCAGAAGCTGTGAAAACCCTCATTATCGTCAGATTTTAATCTTTCCGACGGTCCTTGAACACATCGCGTGTTCAACAAACGCTTCTGTCAGAAAAAAAGCAACAAAAATGATGCTTAAAATTGTGATATTTAATCAAAAATCAACCTTTTTCTTTCACCAGATCCTGTAAAAAACATTCTGAGCTCTTCAGTGCAAATGAAAAGCCAGAGTTTGTAGGTTTATGTCATTGTAACTGTTATTCTGCAGCCGATCGTGTTCATTTGATTGTGAGAAACCTGAATCTTGATCGCGATAAACTGATCGTTATTTATGGATCAATAAACCCTGAAGAACCCTGAAGAACCCTGAACCTATTGCATAATAACACCTGAGACTCTACACTAACAGAACCAGAGTTGCGTTGTAACCACCATGTCGAGCCGTTGCGTTCTCATTGTGTTCTCTTATTTAAAGCGACACACGCGTAACGTGGTTGTTATAATGTTGTTATAACACGTTGTCACGCAGGTTCTGGTGAAGTGGTACAACATCTACAACGCCCCCGGAGGTCCCAGCTCCCACGCAGAGTGGAACCTGTTCGTCACCTGCTTCATGACGCTGATGGGCTACAACACCGAGCGCCTGGCGTGGACGCGCAACGTGAGTCGGCCGCGGAAAAGTGGTGTTTTTAAAAAAACGTTAAACTTTGAACTCACATCGCTGCTCTTCTTTGCACAGCTGCACTTTGAGGTGCCTCTCTCTCCGGTGATTGCAGCGAAGAAGGCTCGTCCCTCTGACGGAGGGTCTGAAGAGGTTTGTGACACAATGAGCATCAATCAAAGTATGAGATGTGACTGTAGACCTGCAACCTGACACTTGATTTAATCCTCCAGGAAAACATTCAGGACATGTTTATTACGATTTCCCTCTTTATTATCTCAACTACTATATGTATATATATATAGATAATAAAGAACTGATGCTGGGCAAGTTAACGCGTTAATTTCGCGTTAACGCATTCATTAATTAACGCCGACAATTATTTTATCGCGCGTTAGCGCATTTTTTAAATTTATTAAATTTTTTTTTTAATTAGTTTTTTCATTTTTATTGAAAGACAAAGAGACAATACATATACATAACAACAAGAGGATGACAAGAACAGTGGGATAAAAGCCAGCAAACATCCTATAGTCAGTCATGTTAGTGCACCTATATGCTGACATTCACGGTAAACGCATTTAAACGGCACAGATCGGGAGCGAGCGAAGGACTTTGAAAGTTAGCGGAAAGATTAACGTGAGACAACATCCGGTTTCTTCAGACGAACATCCGGTTTTCAGAATAAGATGCCAACAAAGTATGAATTATATTCACATTAAGTATAAAACATGCTGCCTGCATCTCGTGAACCAAATGTTATTGCCCTTTTGTTCATATAGCAGTACTTTAAAATAAAAGTGCGCAATACACTACTTTTGAATTCATTATTGAACTTTGCCATAACAATGAGGTTAATCGCGATTAAATATTTTAATCGTTGCCCAGCACTAATATATATACATATGTTCTTTATGTGATGTGCTGAACAAACACTTACTCTTGTGTGTCCTCTGTCCCTGCAGGACCTGGACTACTTGTTGGGGTCTCATTACCACCAACAGATGAACTCTCAGCCCGTCTGCTCCAACAGCCCTCTCCCCACAGAGACCCCCACAGGCCAGTCCTCCGTAAGTCTCTCTGGCTGGATTCACTGAGATTCTCATGCGTGTTGTTTGGTTTTGTGTCTTTGTTAAACTCAGTCAGTGTGGCTGTGCAGCTCCTCCTCCAACACACGCGTCAGAATACATCAACCGTGCGGCCTGATGGTGGACGGTGTGCTACGACTTCTCTCAGAGAATCGCAGAGTTACGACGTATTATTATTATTTCATAGGTTTAGCTACGAATGCTGGATAAGCCTGAAGTGCATGAAGGTCTACAACTACAAGGCATCGGTGACACTTTGTCACGTGACTCGGTCATTTTTCTTTAACGCTTTTGAATTCATATCAGGCACATCAGTGTTTCTATGAAGCGACAGCTGCTCTCAAGTTCAAGACCGTCACGAAGACAAGATTCAATCCACGAGTATGAATCTACAGTGCAGAGACGAGAGAAGCGACGTCTTCGGGCAGCAGCAGCCACACTGTTTTTCTAGTTGAAATAAGCGTCTTAGAGAGAATACGTTAGAGTTGCTTCTGGTCTTATTCATCTTGTTGTGTGTGCACATAATGAAGGAACCTGTTCAGGGACACTGTAACCCGCTCAAAGGAACCTGGTCTCTGGGTACGTCCTCTCTGAGAGTACCGAGTAAGCTTTTAACTCTTAAGCGCCGTGGAAACACGAGCAACGATGAGCTGGAGGAACCTTTTTACTTCTTTTAAATGTCGTCCCGGGATTAAAACCACCAGGAACTTCTATAAATCACGACATTCCTTCTCCTCCTCCTCCTCCTCCTCCTCCTCCTCCTCCTCCTCCTCCTCCTCCTCCTCCTCCTCCTCCTCCTCCTCCTTCTTCCTCCTCCTCTGAAGCTGGACAGTGCGGCTCCTCTCTTCCCTCACGTCCCGGCTCTGTTCTACGTCCTCCACCTGCTCTATCAGGAGCTGCAGCTGGATGAGCTGCAGAGAGCCAGAGCCTCGTCACTGGTCTGTCTGCTGCAGCAGCTGGCCAGGTAACAGCCACCTGTGTGTGTGTGTGTGTGTGTGTGTGTGTGTGTGTGTGTGTGTGTGT